GAGGATAACTCACCTCGAAACTGTCGGTTGAAAAGATAAGATCCCGCTGCTCCGAACTCTGACACGAACTCCTCCACTAAACATCAAACATACAACTCAATAAATACCCTTAATTACCAAAATACCCCTGGAAGACAACTGGTCAACCACGGACAAGTCAAAGTCAACCCCTGACTGACCCTACTCGCCGAGTCAACCCGATGACTCGCCGAGTCCATATGCTCAGAACTTCCTTCAATCAGCGACCCAACTCGCCGAGTCACCCCAAGACTCGTCGAGTCCAACAACTCTGAGTCCACTCGTACCCAACTCACCGAGTCATCCCTTGACTCACCGATTCATCGACTCAACCAGAAATATTGGGACTTCCTCGACAAGACTCGCCGAGTCCAAATGGACTCGTCGAGTCTAAAGCCATCTTCAACCTACTCGCCGAGTTGTTCTTCCAACTCGTCGAGTCCCAGGCCATCTTCAAGCAACTCGTCGAGTCCACCCATGTGACTCGTCGAGTACCACCGGTCTGAATCCAAACAGAAGCATCTCAGGCCATGCAATTGATCTAAAACATAGATCCAACCTCCTACAATCCATCCATCACGTAAAGTGGCAAACTTTACGTGAATCTAACGAGATTTAAGCCATATTCACCTTAAAACCAAGGTTTGGGACATGGTGACTTCACTAAGCACACAAACACAGGAACTTTAATGCACTCTAGGCCTTCAATATTCCAGATCTGAGGTAGCAACCTCAGATCTATCCTCCAAACTCCAAAACATTCCAAGACATACTCCCCACAAACCCCAAAATGATGAAACTAGGAATGCACAGCCTAAGGACGAAGATATTACCTCCAAAAGATGCCTCAAAAGCAGCCAAACTCGAATCCAAGCAAAGCCCTTTGATCCAAGCCACTTCTCCTTCAAGATCTCTTCAAACAACACCTCTCCAAGCTCTAATTTGCTCTACAAATGATTTCCCCATGAATTTAGGGTTTCTGGAACTCAAGGGGGGAATAAGGAAGGCTGTGGAGGGGTATAATGCTCTTTATATAGGGCTCAACCCCGAAAATTAGGGTTTTCTCCATACAGCACCTACTCGCCGAGTCCATCCTAGGGACTCGCCGAGTAGGCCACTTGACACGCGACCATGACCGCGACCTGAGTCGCCGAGTCATCCATGGACTCGCCAAGTCATCCTCTAAAACTTACACTTTTAGCCCTTCAACTCTACTCTTGCGATTCCGGGATGTTACAATAGGGTTTCTTGTTGCGTGTTCAATGCTTGTATGTCTAATAGAGAAAACATAGATCCAACATATAAGAGTTGGATGCACACATAGGATTGTTTGCTATCAAAACCCATCAGTGGTATCAGAGCTTTTGTTTTTTGTTTTCAATTAGATTTGATGCAATTGATTGACCTTGACAAAATTAGGGTTTATGGCAATTAAACCCTAGGCCTTATAATTTTCGTAAATTAGGGTTTCATAACCAGTTTTTTCGAAAATTTGCAAAGGGTTTTTAACCCTTTCCTTTGGCCTCCTAAATTTTGAGATCTAGGGTTTCCTAACCCTATGGTTTTTGAAAATAAGGCAAGGATTGAAAGCCTTGCCTTCCACCCCAAGCCATGATTCCGAAAATTAGGGTTTTGGGTAGGGTTGTTATATTTGGTAATTATCTTATTAATTGTTAACTAGATAATTATAAGATCTTATAATTATCCCTCCCATTTTTCGAAATCTAGGGGATAAGGGATTAGGTTAAATTAATTTGTTTAATTTAATGGATAATCCTTAATTGATTTAATAAATTAATTAAAGGTTTAATTAATAGATAATTATTAAATAAAAGTTTTTTCAATTTTAAAATTTAAAGTAAAATTGGTTTTAATTTTCAAAATTTTAAATAAATCTAAAAAACCCTAGTATTTTGAAATGTTTAAAATACACCCTTATACTGTACGTAAAATTAAAAGTTTAATATTTACTATATGTATAAGACAAGTCAGTTGAACCGCTAGTACGCCTCATTCAGGAAGCCGATCTATAAAGGGAGTTTAAGGAAGCGGTCTATAAAATGACCGACATTGGGTATCCACTCTTACCCACCACTCTCTTAATTGGTGGAGGTTCGTTAGCCGAATGGATTTGATAGGACACTTAATTCTCATTAATAAGTATAATGGAATAAATAAAGTAACTAAATGTTTTTATTAAATTCCCAATCTTAGTTACTTTAGGAAAATGTGAATTTGATGCTAATCCATGAAATTGCACATTGCACTTTATATAAGTCGTTAGTGGAGCATGTATGGTTAACCGACACACTAATATGGACTAATAAGGGTGGCAATGGGAGTCTCGTAAATTATCATTGATTAATGGAGTGTATGTGGTTAACCGACACATTAATTAGGTGATAAATGACATCGAGAGTGCCAATATAATTTGCATGGTTAATCACACCTTATTTGTGATCCTCGGTATCCCAGTCACAAATGGAAACGACATAATTGAGATTAAACATGTCATTGAATAGTTCAATGAATCTTAAAAGATCTAGTAATTTCATTAAAAACCTAATTCATTTAAATTTCGTTTTTCGTGGTAAAATTGGTAAATCGTCATTTACCTACCTTTAAATAGTTCAATGAATCTTAAAAGATCTGGTAATTTCATTTAAAAATAAATATATTAAACCTAACCCCCAACCTGTTTTCTTTATCATCGAACCTATCTTCGCCCCTGCCCATCCTTAGTGACAAGAAATCGAGAGTTTGGTGTTTCGATTAACATCCTATGAACCATCCCATTAACATCCTTGACCACATAACCAGTCTTGAAGATATCAATTTCGCAAGCAACAAACTCGGGTGCAGTTTCGAGAAAATGAAGGGCTCCGATGAAATCGTGTGTGCATATGTGAATTCAGAACTAAAATCAACCCCCTAGTGGGTGAAAGTCCTCTACACTTGTGTGTGTCGGCTCTTGTTCCTCCTGCGACTACAAGGCATCATCTCCTTTGTTCCAATCAGGTTTGTATCTGTTCAAGATTTGATTTGTAGGTGTGTTAATTTTATATGATCACGTTCTGATTGCATTTGTCAGGTGGAAGCACTATGTTAGAAATAGTTTTTCGATTTCAGTGTGTTAATATCGATTTCTGATCAAGCTCGATTCTGATGTTAACAAAGAGTAGGGTTCAATTGGAATAACTGGCATCAGAATGGAATCAAAAGTTTCATGCGCTTAAACTTAATAATGAATAGGATTTGTTGGTTTTGGTTTCCATTTACACTTAATTGTACCGACTGGAATCCATGAATCCTGTGATGGCATAAGACTTAGATCTGAAGCAGATAAGTAAACATTAGGGGCAAAGCTAGTTTTCTAAGAAAATGGAAAACCATGGACAAAATTCCAATAAAATGGTTTGGATTTATTTAAGTGGACACACTCCTTTTCTTCCTTCTTCTTCTTTCTTTAGGTGATGATATTTACAGGTGGTAAATGGTAATGAAAATGATGAAAGGGTTTTGGTGTTAATGAAAAAGATGCCAACAAGTTGTGTTTATTGGTGGTGCTCGTGGTGCATCGTGGCTACGGGCGTTGGTGGCGAGCGGTGGTGGTGCTGGTAGTGGACAACGATGGTAAACTTTTATGCTCAGTTCAGATCGTTTGATGTGTATGGTTTGCATATGTTTTTGTTGTTTTGTATTCTTTTTGGATTTGTTTACAGTAACATATCATGTGGGTTTTGCTTTGTTCATATGGATTTATTCATTTCTTGAGAGAGAGAGAGAGAGAGAGAGAGAGAGAGTTAAATACTTTTTTTCTTTTTATTTTAAATAAGACAAAACATCATAAATGGTCCCTAGTAGTAAAATAACGGAAATGCCCTCCGAATATTATAATCAAATAATAGTTAACCGCGAAAACCTAATGGAGTTAGCTTAAATGACTGTTTGTTAAGAGTTTTAAAACCACATGGAATATCTATGAGGTTTTTTAAACATAGAGACCAAACTTCAGGTTTTTGAAAACCACAGGGACCATTTATGAAGTTTTTTCTTTTATTTATTCCTATTATAGTTTACTAAAAATTACCAAGGAAAATCTACAGAAAAATCTCAAACTTTTGAGAAAAATTTCAAAAAAGTCATAAAATTTTTTGAACAAGAAAGTTTTATTATTTTGATAAAATCATATAATCTATTATTTGTTATTCAAATATAAGTTTTATTATTTTGATAAAATCATATAATCTATCATTTGTTTTATATATATATATATATATATATATATATATATATATATATATATATATATATATATATATATATTATATATATATATATATATATATATATATTCATTAATTTGGGCAAAATATTAAGAGAAATTAAATATCCTTCTACATTTTGATCCTACCAATCCTCCTACCCATTTAAATGATGATATGTGTTATATTAGTATCCTAAAATATCATTAAATCTCAATAAATAAACATTAAATGTTACACATGTCACAATTTCATTGGGTAGGAAGATATGTAGGAACAAAAAATAGGAGTATATTTAATTTCTCAAATGTTAAATAATCGAGGTTTTTCTGTTCAAAAAAATCTTTTGAAACTTTATTGCAATTTTTCCCAAAAGTTTGGAACTTTTCTGTAGATTGGATAAACTTTTCCTAATATGTCCGATATATTGGATTAACTTGAGACCGATGAAACTATAAAAACTTTTGGAGCCGAATGACATGTGCCCGTAGGGTTTTTATGTCCATGTCATCACAAAATATTCACGTCTTAAACCTAACAATTTAAAAGGAAAAATATTCATAAATCAATTTTATGCTAAACTTGACACCACAATGGTTCCTTTTTGTTGCAAAAATGACCAAAAATGGTTTTTATTTTTAGCATTTACCTTTCTTCTAATGTTTTTTAACCTTTAGAGAAAATTTTACAACATTAAAACATAGATTCAAAGTTCAGTGAGAATAATTTTTGAAATTATATAACCAAAACAATTTAAATACTTTCTGAATACACAACAACAATACCATGAAATGAAACATCATCAAGTGATACTCCAACATTTTGAAAATATGACACTAAAATTATCTATATAAATCTTGTATACGAACGTTTACCATTTTCAAAACGGATCACCATCGTCTAAAAGTCATATATAAACTACTTTTTGTAACATTTAAAGAGTAATAAATAATCAAAGATAAATTTTTTTTTTTTGGCTAATCCAACAAACCATTGTTCTTGACTTCATAATCTTTGAAAAAGATGCAGATGCAACTCATGCAAAGATGATACTGGAAAAAGCCAATCTTTTCTTCATTTCTTCTTCTTCTTCTTCTGATATTATACTTCCAAGAATGCTTCTATGTACAGTTAGAGAAACTTAATACTTGATTATTATTATGCTTCTTTATGTCTGTCCATCAGCTAATCAAAACTCAAGAGTTTTCTTATTACCTGCATAAAAGAATACATTTTAGAATTATATTACTCAAGGAAACAGATAAAACATTTCCCATTTTACAATTTTACTCACCTTTAATTATGTAAAAACACTAAAAATGTCGAACAAACAGGCCTGTGGTCAGAAAACCTCGACTCCCAACGTGTATATGACTTCTGATGTATTCCCTCTCCATACCACAATATTCTATCACACCTGAAAATTTTAGGTTCTTGATTAATGTTACTTTATTGAAATTTGCATTATAAAAGATTTTCTTTATAGGTTTTGTAGCCTAAAAAGTAATCTTTTTTTGACTTCTAAATTCTAACATGATATTGGCTCATTACCATGCTGGTGTTCTTCTTTTGCTCTTTGATTTAATGGTGTCTCCTGCATACAAATCTGAGTTGTAGGAGTATTTGTATGTTGGTGGAAAGAAGATCTTCCCCTCTTTCCAACCTTTGAATACTCTCCCAGCTTCCCTTTCCATTTTAAGCTGTCCAAACATCCACAATATAAACAAAAAGAAAAAGTTAAAACAAAAAAACAAAAAAGATTTTCGATTTAGTCGCTACACTTTCTTTTCTACAAGAAACTCGATCCAAATGTTATAAATTATTAAACAAATGCATTACTGCAAAAAAAGTTATTCTCCCAACAACCTCTGAACTGGCTCACACTGTGTTTACCAGAATACAGTCCACATTGGAACTGAAACTTCCACACTGTGACTACCGAGGCATATAAGAAGTGGTTAAATTATTAAACAAAGTATGGGAAATGAACATATGGAAGTACCTGATCCTTATTAAGAAGGGCATCCCAGTCATTTTGCTCCAAAAATTTCTTGGTTTCATGGTAACTAAGGGCGATTCGGTAGTTTAAATCACCTAACCAAATGACTCGGCTGGAGAAATTATCATAACATGAGATTACATTTGGATTTTTATAAGTCTTGATTATATAATCAAGAAGATAAAAAAGAAAGATTCTTACTCATGTTCTAAAATTTTGTCTGGCACCTTAGCATTGGGTGTTCTACAAATCTTTGGAAATTGTGTGCTTTTAAGTATCTCAATAACATCTAAATTTCTTCGAAGCTCATCCCCTTCTTTTTCTCCTGATGCCAAGTGACTACATACAAAGCAAAAGCTTGTTTGCTTGAAGGTCATGCTCACCGAAATACAACCCTGTAAACAATTAAAAAACTTCCAACTAGGTTTACATCAAAAAGCTTCAAAATTTGTGATATATATCGAACAAAGTTGAAAGCTTTATTCATCATACATCACAACTTTCAACTTTGTGGAATAAAGCTTTGAACTTTGTGTGTATGTGAAATAAAGCTTTGAGCTTTGTGGTTTATGTGTGATGTATATCGAATAAAATTTTGAACTTTGTCACGTCTATCCAATATAACTATGAACTTAGTGATGTATATCGAATAAAGATTTGAATTTGTGTGATGTATATCGAATAAAGCTTTGAACTTTGTGAGGTATATCAAATACATCTTTCAACTTTGTGATGTATGATGAAAAAAGATTTAAACTTTGAGATGTATATCAAAAAAAGATTTGAACGTTGAGACATATATTTAATAAAGCTTAGAACTTTGTGATGTAAATCGAATAAACCTTTGAACTTTGATGTATGTCAAATACAAATTTGATATGTGTGATGTATATCGAATAAAGCTTTGAACTTTGTGAGGTATATCAAATGAAACTTTCAACTTTGTGATGTATGATGAAAAAAGATTTAAACTCTGAGATGTATATCAAAAAAAGATTTGAACGTTGAGACATATAATTAGTAAAGCTTAGAACTTTGTGATGTAAATTGAATAAACCTTTGAACTTTGTGATGTATGTCAAATACAAATTTGATCTGTGTGATGTATATTGAATAAAGCTTTGAACTTTGTGATGTAAATCGAATAAACCTTTGAACTTTGTGATGTATGATGAAAAAAGATTTAAACTTTGAGATGTATATCAAAAAAAGATTTGAACGTTGAGACATATATTTAATAAAGCTTAGAACTTTGTGATGTAAATCGAATAAAGCTTTGAACTTTGTGATGTATGTCAAATACAAATTTGATCTGTGTGATGTATATTGAATAAAGCTTTGAACTATGTGGTTTATGTGTGATGAATATCAGATTAAATTTAGAACTTTGTGATGTATTTAAAGAAAAAAAGCTTCAAGATATATCAACTATTAACATACCTTATTCCCAAGATAACCCAAAATCCCACGACTTATGCAAGAAGTTCTCAAGTGGCCTATATATGGAACAAGCTCCTTTTTAACCCAAATTGTGACAAAAATGCCCACCATTTGCTTGCTCTTTATAAGACAATATCTCAAATGTTGATTCTTTCCAGTTGGTGGAGGTGCAGCGGTAGTAACATCAGCCGCCACCATGTTAGGGGTAGCATCGTCTTCTTCTGATGAAGAGGGATCATCATAATTGTTTGACTTTGACTTTTGACATGCGAAACATGAATCCCTTCCATAATAACTCTTTCTTTCAGGCTCAACAATGGTGCAATTGCAGCTCTTGAATCTTCTTCGACTCTCTGATCTAAAAGATCTACTTGCGGATTTGAGTGATGTTCTTTGCAAGAACATCGAAGATTTTCTTTCAAAAGAATTGGAATTTGTATTTGTTTTATTTAATGCGTAATAATCTTTATTAGATTGTTTGTTGAGAGATTGACTAATCAACGAGAGCCATTTTGCTGCAGAACCATTGTCTTCTATTACTAACACATTTCCAGCGTTTAATGGGACTATTTCCTGAAAACTGATCACATAAAACATTTTATTTTTTAAAATCGTTGGATTATAAATTAAGAGAAGATATAACAGATTAACAATATGTATTATATACACACCCAAGAATGTATATATCTGATTGACAATTGATTTGTAGAAGGTTATCAAGATCGAGATCACTAGAAGGTGATTTTCCTGCTACATTCCAAGTTGCTGTGAACACCCTATAGAAAATGAATCATGAAAACATGAATAGAATTTACAAAATTATCCAAAAAAGTGTAAAAAGAATATAAAGATGAAATTGGAACCTGAGGGATTGAACATCATGACTAATTGCCATTGAGTCACTTAGTAAGTTAGTGCAATCCAACACACCAATCCTGCTAGCTGCATAAGTATGGTGAATATAAAGATGATAATGGATATAAAGATTAAAGAATATTATATATATATATATATATATATATATATATATATATATATATATATGGATATAAAGATTATAAAAGATATTATATGGTCTCCTTGAAGGCATCAAGTGACAATGGAATGGATGTCTTTCTGTGTTGCTTAGTGAGGTCAAAAAGCAAAAATTTGAACATATTCTTCGCTTTTTTCTTTACTTCAACTTGTGATATTCCTCATTATCTTATCTTCAAACAATTAAATTCTGGTCTCTAATTCGCAGATATTTGGGAGAGACTTTGACCAAATTTTAAATATCAAACAACTTTTAAGCCAAAAGAAGAATTCAACAGACAAAAGGAGAAGTTGGATGCTCGAGAAATAAACAACCTGTGGGATCAAAAGAATTTTTCAATACTTTTCCTTCGTCTCCGTTGTTCAGCTTCATTGACAAAATTTTATGAATAAAGGACTGAAATCATCGACATCATCATCATTATTATCGTCATGATGCATCAAAAGAAAAGGGATAACACAATCAGAGAGAATGAATGAATAAAATAAGGATTGAATTAGTGAATCGAAGTCATTATGCAAACCTTTTTGATTTCTTCAATTTTCCCAGTCATTTTTCACATGGGTATGATATATGAATTATGATCCAGATTCGGAATCACAATTCTTCAACTGAAATATCAGATTCAATTCAGAATACATACAAAATTGGAAACGAAAATACACCTAACAATAAAGAAATCAAAGATGAATGAATTTCATATTAAAAAATTGGAAAAGGAAAGAGACCCGCAGAAACCATGTTTCCTGATTTCTGGAAACAAAAAGTTGGCTCACGATACGGAGACATTGAAAACCCCACATGGGTTTTCAAAAAGGAAGTCAACTCGCTGCAATTTTTATGTGGGGTTTAATGTGTTTATGAAGAAAACGAGGGAGATAAGTGGAGAGGGGACCTGAAAAACATTCTGTACTTCCTTCCACAAGCTGTTGAATCTGAACTTTTTTCTTCAAATCAGCCTGCTTCTGTTGATGCATTAACACTTTAAAAGGGAAGTTTAATTGATTTAATTGAAGGAAAGTCGTTCTGAATCGAAAGAATACGTTAAATTTGGGAATATATATGGCATATCACATATCCCTGCTAATTCAACTGTTCTTGGTTTTGTGCCAACAAGATGTGTGAAAGAACGCGATGTAATTTTCATTCATACCCTTTTAGTGTGGTTTTATTTCACATAGACCCTAGATTATATGAAATTGTTTATAAACAAAAATGATAAACAAAATATCTATAAATATTAAATAGTATCAATTGATCACATACTTCCAAGCTAACTATGTATATGTTTATTGAAATCGTGACCATGTCTTCTTCAAGCTGTTTTAAGACTTATATAATCTAATTAATAAATATACAACTTTAAGGGAAAAAATATTATATTATTTTAAAGTGAATTCTCTTATATTTTTATGAAATTCTAATTTAAGGCTTTCTAGCTTAAAAAAAATACCTATTTATTTCATTCAACCATTAAAAAAACTATTAGATTATCTTTTTTTTAGTAATCCTTATATTCTCTAAAATTTTATGATTTAAGAGATTATAGCCAATAGATTTTTGAGAAACTTACCTATCATTTATGGTTATATGAAGCTTATTAGTCTCAAGAAATCTTAAATTAGACAATCTCATAAGTTTTAAACATTAGAAATATAATAAAATGGTTTTTTATGATTTTTTTTTTTTTTTTTGAGATTTACTTTTTATAATTAGAGTTAATCTCATAAAAAACCTTATATTTTATGTTTTTTATCGGAATCCTTTAGTCGTTTTCTTCCAAAGAAATTGTAGAATGTAAGGATTTTTTGAGAAAAAACTAAAAAAATTTAAGGTTATGAAACAGTTAAAACATTGAGGTTTATTTCCGGGAAAAAAAAAAAGAGACAAAGTTAGAATTTTTCCTGAAAAGTTAAAAAAATGTAATGTCTTTCTAATAAAAATGTTTGAAATTTAATTCGGAAAACACATAAAATATATTTTTTTATGATTAACCCTTATAACTATTAATACAAATTTTATCTGCCTTAAAAAATAATTATTATCTAAGTATAAAGAGTATAAAATATGTATTAAAAAAAAAAAAAAAAAAAAGATGGGGCTTATTGAGTAAAAAGGGGAAAGTGAGTTGGCTAGACTAACCGGGAATCATTGAAAAGCGAAAACTAGTTGGGGGTTCAATTCACAAGAAATCCATCGAAGTCGAAGTGGGTGGTCCAAATCACACAGAACGTGCAAAGCTTAAACCCTCTTTTTCCTTTTTTTAATTGTATGACAAGTTACCATTTAATTTTTTTTTATTTAGAAAAATGCATTTAGGATATTATTAGATGGGTAAATTATACCATTAGTCCCTCGTGCATATGTCTAAAAGCACGTTTGGTCCCTATTTTCAAAAATAAACTCGGACGGTCCCTAGGTTTGTTTTTTCTTACACGCTTAGTCCCTCCAGACATAAAAAGACTATTTTACCCTTAACAATTTCTTTTTTAATTTTCTTTTATTATTTTATTATTTTTACATTAAAAAGAAAAAACGTAACTTCAACCCCCCCCCCCATTTTTTTTCTTTCCCCATACTCGTTTCCCCATTTTCCTCTAACTATCGACAAACTGCAACCATGAAGCCGCCGACAACCATGAAGCAGCCACCGACGAAATCTATTCATCCACGGTCTTCTCTCTTCTGCAACCCAACGGACAACCACACATCTCATCCATTTCTTTATGTGCATCTCACAAACTCTATTTCAGCCACCATAGGAGCAAGGCAATCATCAGAGCAACCATCGTCGCCATCATTCATCGTCTGTACACCACCCTTCAAATGCACTCCTGCCAACACCCTTCATCTGCATCATCATCCTCATTGAACAGAAAAAAAGAACGAACTAAGAAGATAGAACGAACTGCCAACACCCTTCATCTTCATATACGTCATCATCCTCATTCCCGACGATAGGGTAGCAGATCTGGTTTATGATTCTCGATCTGTGGTTGTCGATCGAGCTGAGAAGATACAATAAGGTTTCACTATTGGAGGGGAATGAAGAAGGGAGTATTTGAGGCGGTTGCACCGGAAAATGTGGGTGGTCCATCGTTGCACCAAACCTTAGCCGCCTCCTGTTTTTCCGATGAGAGGGTATTAATACTGCAGCACTCCCTACGCTTCTACCTTACCGTTCAGATCTGCACTCCAGCAAAAGCTAGATCCTCCGACGGTAATGATGATGGAGTGGTGATAAGTAGTGTTCAAAGGGGGTGGTTATCGGTTGTTGTACAGGAGGGTGGCGATGGTGAAGGAGGTAGTGGTTTTGTGGTTATTTTTCCGGGGAACAAGTGGTGTTTGGTTGTGCATTCCGGTGATGGTTGTGGAGATTTCAGTGGCGGTTGTGCATTCCAGTGGTGTTTGTGCAGTCAAGTGGTGGTGGTGGTGCTTAAGTCTTCTTCAACGAAACAAAAAGATAGATATATAGATATTAAGTTTAATAAATTAATAATAAATATTAAAAATAAATGAAAAATAAATTATAAAGGGCATTTTAGTCATTCCAATTATCACAAGGGACGAAGCATGCAAATTTAAAGCAATGAGGGACAAAATATGTACCTTTTTACGATATAAGGGACGGTCCGAGTTAATTTTTAAAAATAGGGATTAAACATGCTTTTTGGCACCTGCACGAGGGACTATTGGTGTAATTTACCCTTATTAGATCAAGGGTAAATTACACGGATGGTCCCTGTGGTTTAGGGTAATCTGCATGTTTGATCCCTAACAATTTTTTTCAACTCAGATCGTCCCTATTTTATAATTTTGTTGCACGTTTGGTCCCTATCCATCCTAAAAAGACTAATTTACCCTCATCCATTTCTTTTTTAATTAAATTTTTAATAAATCTTAAAACCCCAAGGGATTATTTGTGTAAATACAAGGAAAAAGGCCCTAAGGGTGTGTCTGGGATTGCTTTTTGAACATAAAAGTCCTTTTTGTAAAAGGACTTTTTGTAAAAGAACTTTGTCTAAAAGATGGTGTTTAAAATGTGTTTGGCTTGTCTTTTATGACTTTTAAGTGATAAAAGCTAAAAGTCACAAAAAGATAGGAATTCCTATCTTTTCTCCAGCCAACTTTTCCTTCTTGACTAAAAGTTAGTTTTAAAAGATCTTTTTAATTTGCCAAACAACTTTTAGTAATTTAACTTTTTGAAAAAGTTAAAAGTCAAAAAGATGATTAAAAAGAAATGTCAAAGACCCTCTAAAACCAGCCCATTCAATCATCAATCAGTTCCTCTTATTATCTCTACCGGTACACCAAACCTCTCACCGTCGGCAGCTTCCTCCACCTAAACCTGCATCGTTGCCCTATCAATGCTCGCCGGAGACCAGAGTATAACTGGAGATTTCTCTTTATCCCGACCCGATTTCAAACCTTTCTTCATTTCCACCAGATTTCAAGCTGAAAAAGCATTCTCCTCATCCCCACCAGACCACCTCGCAGAAACCCCATGAAACCTGCGACTCATATCTTATGGTATGCATAATAATTCCGAGAAGTAGATTGCAGGTGGTGATTTGGTTAAGCCTATCAGATGGTACTATGATCCCTCCCATGTTTTCATCTATGCCCCATCAGTAAAAGGGATGGTCGGATTCGCCATCAACTTCTTTCCCTTCCACCACGAATACCCTCCATCTTTCCTCCGATATAGACGTACGACATCGATTCATACCCAACACCCACTGATTTTGAAGGTGAGAAACTGATTTTAAAGGTGAGGAATCGATTTTGACGTACAAGATCGATTTATATACAACACCGATTGGGTTTGATTTCAGGTTTAATTTTCAGTTTGAGGTTTAATTGAGTTCCAGGAATTAAGTTTCATATTCAATTTTCAGCTTGATTTCATGCTTGATTTCAGTTTCAGGTTTGAATTCATATTTAATTTTGAGTTTTGGATTTGATTTAATTTCAGTTTCAATTTTAGTTCCAGTTTCTGGTTTATATCCTGGATGAATTTAAGGTTCAAGTTCCATTGATGTTGGTGACTACTGGAATATTCTTCATTGCAGTCGGAGATGACAGTCGTGCGGGGAGGGAGAGGGAGGGGGAGGTGGAGCCGTCAGTGTGACATTTTCCGGGGACTAAACACAACGAAGGAAGGGAAGGGGAGGGGGTTTGGTGGTAGGTCACATTTAATTAATATTTTTTTAATTAATAAATAATTTAAAATAGGTAAAAGAAATCAATAAGGATAAATCAATCTTTTTAGAAGGAAGAGGGACCAAATGTGCAATAAAATTATAAATTAGGGACGGTTCAAGTTAAAAAATAATTATTAGGGACCAAACACGCAGATTATCCTAAACCATAGGGACCATCCGTGTAATTTACCCTTAGATCAATGTGAGCAAAACGATATACACGTGATCTTCATGTTCATGCCAACTATTATAATTAGTGTGTCATATTATAATTATAGGGTCTGTCGCTAAGGATATTTAAAATAGAAAAAAAAAAAAAAAAAAAAAAAAAAAAAAACTTTTTTATTTTTAATTTTTTAACTTATAGTTTAATTACCGGTACAAAACTTGAAATAAGTTGTTTATGAAAAAATCACATACAAACATTAATTTTAACTTTATATAAATGTGAAACCGAAAATAAATTGAAAATCTAATTAAATAAACTTAGCCAAGCACCCTCTTAACCCTCTTAGTGTACCTAAGTTTTAAATTAGCCTATTTTTGTCTAAATTTCTATAACAAGATGAGCAAAGAGATAAATTGATTTTTTCTTTTATCTTTTTATTTATTCATTTTAGATTAAATAACGGCATACAATATAGTTTTATAATTTTTTATGATCTAGTATTAGAAATGACAAGTTAGTTTTTTTCATGTTAAGTAGCATAAATAAGATTATATATGATTATATGTGAAATTCATCTACACAAAAATTATAAAAGATATATGTTTGTATATAAAGTTTATTTAAACAAAATATACAATATAAACATGTTTTCATTTTAAACCCACTTAAATAAAAACTAGAATACAATTACTATTGAGCGATTAACAACTTCATGCTCTTACGGTCGTGAGTTAAGTTGCAAATAATCTTGTATGACTCTTTTGTAGCTTAACTTAGAGACAACATTTTCTCAAATATTGGGAAGCTATAGAAATCTATCTAGAAGTTGTAAGTATTTTCTAAAGTTTTGGTTCTTTTCATTTTCAAAACATATTTAGATTTTCATAAGAACCTCTCTCTCTCTCTCTCTCTCTCTCTCTCTCTCTCTATATATATATATATATATATATATATATATATATATATATATATATATATATAATACACTAGCCGTTTACCCGCGCAAAGCGACGGACGAAAAATAGTTTGTTTCGACAATTAATTTTCTTTTCGATAGAGAATGATTATTTTCAATTCAAACATTAGTTTGTTTTAGGAAACATGTCATATTAAAAATAAAGAAAATTCATAAAATAACCAAATTATAGGGTGTTAAGTATTTATTTGGATGAAAATAGATCTGGTCAAAATCTTGGAAGAGAAGATTTATAGGCGTTTGTTTAAATTTTAGTATTATTTTATTAGTGATTAGTTGTACAATTAGCTTAATAATTTGGACGTCTTAAAAAAATATTATTATTTTATTCAATCTATTTTTAGAAATAGTGGGATTTGTTTTATAAGATAGTAAAGATATATATATATATATATATATATATATATATATATATATATTATATATATATATATATATATATATAGAGAGAGAGAGAGAGAGAGAGAGATTTAGGTTCAAATATTTCTCACATTTATTGTGTGTTAGAATACACCAAAAAGAATTTAGTAAAAATTAAATTATTATTGAATCTAATAGAGATAAATATTAAATGATATACATAATTATGATTCATTTTTTATGGAAACTAATTAAATTCATCATTAATATCATCAATAATATTCTTTCAGAATGATCTCTTATCTAGGTTTTAATGTATGATTCGTATTTTGTTTCATGACCCACTTACTCAAAATACAACAAAGTTGTATGGAACATGGAAAATGTGAGTGTACTCTAGTAGCATGAAAGTTTATTCTAGAAGAATGAGAGTATATTATAACAGAATTAGAGTGTATTCTAGTAGAATACACTCTCTTTCTTCATATTCCATGCAATTTTGTTATATTTTAAGTGAGTGGATCCATAAACAAAACACAAACTCATACATGAAAACATAGATACAGATTCATTCTGAAAAAATGTTATTGCTGACATAAATGACGAATTTAATTAGTTTCTATAAGAATATAATTATAATTATGGATACCATTTAATATATATCTTATTTAGTTAAATAATTATTTATTTTTACTAAATTCCTATTGGTGCATCCTATCACACAATAAATGTAAGAAACACATGAACCTAACTCCTTTCATTCCAACCAAAAACCTACCACCTCCTCCAAGTGGGCCCCCTGCTCAGAGGAAAACGCCTGATACTTCCAAGAAAAACACCCCTTCGATCACTAACCAAGGAAGTTTAGGCTCCTCAGGACACAAGGATCCAACTGCATCAGTAACTACTACAGAACTCTTTGTTATGATGGGGAAAATGGCGCAACAGGTGACCCAACAACAGGAGGAGAATAGAGCTCTACTCAAAGAAGTGGAGAGGATGAAGGCAGAATTCCAAAAGTCCTAGGGAACAACGCCCATGGTTGTACAACCAAGGATCCTAAACTTTGGCGATGCAGGATCCTCAGAGAATCACTAGAAGAACACAACTCCTACCACTATGGCGTCGCCCTGGGGGAAAACTATAAACAACCGAGCATCTATGATCAATGATCTCAATGAGCCTGTCAAAATACCTAGAAACCTTGATTCTAATAATTTCTTGAACAACAATACTATTATTACTAATTGTATTAACGTTGATGTAAGAATAAATCCAAACATGGCCATGGAACTTCAGCAGCTAAGGCTAATGATCTCAAGTGTACCTAGAGTGGTCCAACCCATACCAGAAGCATCCCCTACAAGTCACAGGATCTCGAGATTTGCTCCCGCACTAGCCGATACCGAAGTTCCTAAGCGCTTCTAAACTCCCAACATGAAGTATATGATGGAATTATAGATCTTAAAGAGCATATAGCCCAAAACAGAGAAAGGATGGAGATAATTCCCATCCCATGACACTTGAAGGAAACTTGCCTATGCAAAGGCTTTGGTTCGACCCTTATAGGATCAACCCTCAAAATTATTGCTAAACGTTCCCCCATATTCTATTACTTCTTTTTGCACACTTAGTTAATATCTTTAATAACTAGTTTTCTTGTAGCAGAACCTTCAAGAAGATTACTAGTGATCTCTACCGGGTGGTTCAGGATCCTAAGGAAAAACTTAGGGACTTTGTTAACAGGTTTGGCAGGGAAGCTCTAAGCATCCCCATCATTGACATGGCCGCCGTTGTGGAAGCTTTTAAAATGGGATTAAGAAAGGATTCACCCTTCTATGAATACCTTATGATGACCCTATGCAAAAGATTGGATGAAGTCAGGTGCCAGGCATTGAGTTTCATAATGCTCAAAGAGGATAAAGAGATCCAGAAGAGAAGCAACCCTTTAGATCAGTATAAGAACCCCAACAGGAAGGCCGAATCCTCAACCCAAAGATCCTGCAAATCGAAGCCCTATTCCAAACTAGATTATCAAAGGGTTGGTTCCCTTGAAGATGGAGGAGAAGAAGAAGAGCTTCCTAAAATCACTGACTATTGTTTTTATGTGGATGTTTCAGGTTTAAATGATGTTATACAGGATCTTGGAGATAAAGCAAGATGGCTAAAGAGAGATAAAAAGTTTATCGCTTGGAAAGACAAGTCAAAATGGTGTGCTTACCATGAAGACTTTGGCCACATGACGGAGGACTGCATAGCTCTACGAAAAGAAATCAGCTACCTCCTTAGCAAAGGGCACCTCAAATGGACCCTCAGGAGAAGAAGAGAAAAATCCAAGGAAAACAGCCAGGATGATCACAGGATCCCGGAGAAACCAAGATCTCCACCCTTTAATGCTAAGATAATTTGTGACAACCCAAAATTTTGTCCGTTTCTGTTACCTGATTTCCGTTAATGAAATTTCAGATCCGTTAACTTTTCCGTCAAAATTTTGGTTTAATGAAAATAATCTAGTTATATTTAATTAAATTATTTACGAGTCGGAACCAAAAATCGCGTGGCAACCCGAAATCTCGAGAAATCAACATTTTTGGTCTAAATGGGATTACGACCGTAAATGTGTTTACGGTCGTAAACTCGTTTACGACCATAAACTAGTTTATGACTGTAAACCCTGTTTACGGTCAAGGACGAATGGACCCCACTTTCACCCTATAAATACAATGCCTCCAACTTCATTAGGACGTTTCTGGCCACATTCTCTCCTCCTCTCTCTAAGAAACATAAACCGTAAACACTCAAAATGCAATTAAACTTTGGGAAACATCGATAAAATCACGTTTGGAGCCCTTTGGAGCATCTGGACACACTTAGCTTGTCAAAATCAGCATCCAAACATCATTTTTCTTGAGTTTACGGTCCAACCTTCAAAGACCGTAAACTCTGTTCTTGAGTTTACGGTCGTAAACTCACCAAGTCTTCAGAAACCGTAAACTCTTGTTCACGGCCGTAAACACCTTTTTGGTGGTACTTTTGGCTGAAAACCCATTTCTTCGATTCAAGCAAGTCTTGGTAACATTCCTCAACCAAATTCAAGTGTTTTCTGACACTTTATTTATTGAAATTGCTAATTTAGATACATATACGTACTTATTTAACAATAGGATTTCGTTAAGTGTCACGTGCAATAACTCGAGGATTTTCATTTCATTCAACGGTTTCACGCACCAACTGTGAGTTCATACCCCTACATTTTCCCCTATT